AAGGAAGGAAGGAAGGAAGGAAGGAAGGAAGGAAGGAAGGAAGGAAGATTTCTGACATCCACTGCCCATTTCCCACAAGGAAATGCGAATTTGTAAGTAACTCCCACTGATTTTTTTTAATGCCTATGATCATTCTGTTTCTCTGTTTAGGTAGGGAAATGTTATACCTGGAGAAGAGGCCACGTAAAAATGCCCAGAAACTGACACGTGGATTGACCATGATCCCAGCATTCAAGAAGAGATAATCCAATCTATGAAATCTATACAATGAAGGTAACACATGGTTATTGCAAGAAGAAACAGGAACAAAATGTCTTGCCAAAAACAAAAACCCTCTTAGTTGCATAATTTAACTTGAAAGGCTTAAATGCATAACTAATCTAAAAATGTAATATGTCAATATGTAATAACTAATAACACTCTGTCTTCCTCCAGGAGGTAGTTCTGGGCTAAATGTTCATATTTATGAACTGTTAAATGGAGAAACCAGAAGGCTGATCTCAGAATGACCTCTCCCTGAGCAGAAACAAAAAACCACCTCCTTGCTTTGTATTCACATTTAAGAAAATTAATTTTCTTCTCTTAACAGAGTATTTAAACATATATGCCCGAAGAGTCCAGGAAAAGTTTTACTACTTGATTTTGCCAACTGTACAAGGACATGTTTAGCCATTAAGTAGTGGGATTACAATTCTTACGATACCTTACCATTAGATGTTCTTATTGGCATTGATGAGGATGAACTTCAACATTTATGAAGAATACTCAAATTATCTATTTACTCACATAGTATATAAGCACAATGATCTTTGTTATTGGTCCAATACAGACAAAGAAAAACTTGGAGTAATAACTCTGCAGTTATCCTATGGCACAAATTTTTGCATATTCCATAATTCATACTGCATAAGATCTGTAGTGCTCCTCGACAAAATATCCATCACATTGGGTCCAAATGTCCATCAAGAGCTTACACTGGTATAGACCACCCTTTCCTTGAATGGATGGGTGGACTGGACATTAACATTTGAACCACTGTTAAGTCCATGTTTTTGCCATACGCTAAATAAATAAATAAACTGCATAAGAAAAGTGTTATGTCCCTGGAACTTACCAAAGTCCCCACCCAGGTCCGTTCATGCTGCGGGGGCGTTTGCTGCCCCTCATTGGCTGGCCTCCCTCGACAGCCGGCTATAAAAGCCAGCTGCAGGGTCCGGCCAGCCGCTGTTCGTTGTGAGCCTGCTCCAGGCAAGGCTAACACGTTCAGTCCTTTATTGCTCCAATAAAGTCTTGTTGCATCCATGCCCTGGTCTAGCCTCTCATTGCTCAACTACAACACTGGCGACGAGGATGGGATGGCTACCAGAGGCAACCCGCAACAGCTGAAATCACTAAAATCGCTGAACCGCAGCCGCGCCGTTGGAGAGCTCGGTCAGCAAGAGCGAAAGTAATAAGCATCTGTAGCCACTTGGTTAGCAAGCTACAGGGGAAAGTGGAGCGCTGCGAGCCGCAGCCGCTCAACACGAAAGAGCGCGAAATTCAAATGGCTGTCGTTTGAATTTCTTGACGGAATACAGCGCGGTGCTGTTATTCCGAGTCACTGACGCCTACGCAGGCATGAATTTTAAAGCGCTAGCAGAGGCGGCTAGCCATTACTGCCTACGCTCCCCAGGAGCGCGAAATTCAAAGCGCTGCCAACAGCCGTTGCAGCCTTACCACATTGTTAGCCCAGAGAGAGAGAGCAGAGAAGTTCTGTGGAGCCTCTCCAGAGCTGTAATCACTAACCTATCAAGAGCACAAAGTGCCATTTTGTTGTCCCAGAGAGATTTCACAGCAGCCTAACCAGCAGAAGTCCTCATCATGAACTCCAGCCCAGCTTTTCCACCGTTCAAGCCGGATGAAGAAAAATGGGAGTCATACAAAAATCGTTTTAATCACTATATCGATGCCATTGGTCTGGCTGATGCTGGGGAGCACAGAAAAAAGTCATTCTTCCTCAGTTATTGCGGAGCCATCGTTTTTGATACTGCCACAGCACTCGTTGCACCACGTGAGTTAAAGAATGTCCCCTGGGCAGAATTGCTAGAGATCCACACCAATCATTACTCCCCCAGACCCTCACAAATCGCGAGGCGTTTCACCTTCCGGATGAGGAAGCAAGCGGAAAAGGAAACCGTCAACCAGTATATGGCCGCCTTGAGGACTGCAGCCCTTCATTGCGGGTTCGGGAACTATCTAGATGACATGCTCCTCGACCAGCTCGTCTGCGGGGTCAAAGACCTTCACCTCCAAAGGCGACTACTCGCCAAGAAGGACCTCAACCTCTCCCAGGCCGTCGAGGAAGCCTTGGCAGCAGAACTGGCAACACAGTCAGCCACCGAAATTCAAGGTCCCGTTCCCAAACAAAGCTGTGCCACCGTTCATTCAGAAGAGGTAGTCAACGAAGATGATCCCAACGATCAAACAGACATCCACCGTCTCGCTCATGCCAAACAACCACAGGCAGGAACCAGGCAAGAAAGCATCAGCACGCCCAAACACATCACCCTGTGCCTATCCTGTGGCGGACCTCACTCGAGAGCTTCGTGCAAATTCAAGGGTGCCATCTGCAACAATTGCCACAAAAAAGGCCACATCGCCAGAGTCTGCCAGGCCGGGCACAACTCAGCACAAAAGGTTCCTCCTTTTTTCCATTCTGGGCCACAAAGGCAAGTACTAAATTGTCACACTTGCTACCATGCTAACCGCACCTGTCACTCTATTAGTAAAATAACACTCTCCATTTTATTAGAAGGTAAACCTTGTCGTATGGAGGTTGACACGGGGTCAGCGCTCTCAATCATCTCTTGGAGCACCCTCAAGAAAATCCAGCCCAGACTATCCAGAAACCAGCTCCAGAAGTGCCAGATCACCTTGAGGGATTATCAGGGAAAGGACATTCCAGTACTCGGCAAAGGCAAGTTCCTTGTTAATTTTAAAGCTTTCAAAGGCCACCTGCCTCTAGTGGTAGTTAACGGCAACCTCCCTAGTCTTCTGGGGCTTGATTGGTTCCCCTACCTCGGCCTAGGGTTAACAGGAGTCCATGCTGTCTCAGCTTCTGACACTGACTCCTTATTCACTGACTACTCAGACGTATTCAGCGATGAGTTGGGGTCTTATAATGGTACCCCCATCTCATTTACGGTTGACCCACAAGCGGTCCCAGTACGACTGAAACCTCATAGAGTCCCATTCGCCATTCGGCCTAAACTGGACGCAGAGCTGGATAAATTATTAAAGCAAGGGGTCATTGAGCCGACAGACTTCGCCAAATGGGAGACGCCAATTGTCACACCCCTTAAAAAAGATGGCAGCCTGAGAATTTGTTCAGATTACAAAACAACAATTAACCGCTTTCTACAAGTTAGCGCGTACCCAGTTCCGGTCATTCAACATTTATTGCATACATTTGAGCCTGGCAACATTTTTGCCAAATTGGACATGTCACAAGCGTATCAACAGTTCCCTGTTGACAACCAAACAGCCGAACTACAGACCATTGTGACCCACAGGGGTGCCTTCCGGTGCAGGCGTCTCCAGTTTGGCGTAAGTGTGGCCCCAGGCATTTTCCAATCCCTCATGGAGCGCATACTTCAGGGCCTCCCTGGCGTAGTGCCCTACTTCGACGACATATTGGTCTCGGCCAGGGACAGGCCCCAGCTCTTCCAGAGAGTCAGAGCAGTGTTAAGACAGGTTCAGACAGCATGGCCTCAAATTAAAACGGGAGAAATGTGCCATTGCCACTAAACAGGTGGACTTTCTGGGCTATAGAATTGACGCCTCAGGCATTCACCCCCTAGAATCCAAGGTCAAGGCAATTCATGAGGCACCCACGCCAACCACTAAAGCCGAGCTGCAAGCCTTTTTGGGATTATTGAACTTTTATGCATCATTTCTACCTCACAAGGCATCAGTAGCAGAGCCCTTACACAGGCTCTTAGATAAAAAATCACCTTGGCACTGGGGACACAAGGAAGACACCGCTTTTCGCACAGTCAAATCACTGCTCACATCAGACGCGGTCCTTATTCAATTTGACCCACACCTCCCATTGGTACTGGCTGCAGATGCATCCCCTTTTGGGATTGGAGCCGTACTAAGCCATAGACTACCCAACGGCTCCGAGGCACCAATCGCTTTCTTTTCCAGAACGCTCTCAGCAACAGAGCGTAACTATAGTCAAATCGACAAGGAGGCTTTAGCCGCAGTGGCCGCTGTTAAGAAATTTCATGAGTTCCTTTTTGGCCACAACTTCGAACTAATCACGGATCACAAGCCTCTCCTGGGTCTCCTATCTGGAGACAAGCAGACTCCACAAGTGTTGTCTCCCAGAATGACGAGGTGGACCTTGTTCCTGGCGGCCTATTCGTACAAGCTCATCCACCGCCCAGGAAAAACATTAAGCCGCGCAGACGCCCTCAGCCGCTGCCCCCTGCCAGCTCCAGCTGAAGACCCGGCCCCGGTCCATGCCATCTTCGATGTCACCGAGCTTGACCTCCCTGTCACCGCCCTCGACATCGCCACCAAATCCAAGATGGACAAAACTATCGCCCAGGTACTGGACTGGGTGAGGAGGGGGTGGCCGGGCTCTAACCTCGCAGCCGAATTCACACCTTTTAAGACCCGTCAACAGGAACTATCTAGCTTACAGGGCTGCCTGTTGTGGGGCACCCGGGTGGTCATTCCGGCCTCACTTCGCACACCAGTCTTAGAGGTACTACACGAGGGCCACCCGGGCATCGTCCGGATGAAGGCGTTGGCTTGGAGTTATGTCTGGTGGCCTGGATTGGACGATGACATCGTCAAGTGGGTAAGCTCATGCCAACCCTGTCAGGAATCCAGACCATCCCCTCCAGTCTCCACCCCCGCAAAGTGGGAGAGCGCCAACGCGCCTTGGTCAAGGCTACACATTGACCTAGCGGGTCCCATACACAGCAAAACCTTCTTGGTGGTCGTAGATTCATACTCTAAGTGGATCGATGTGGCCCAACTATCCACGACCACCACGCAAGCGGTTACCAAGGCTCTGACCCGCCTATTCGTAACGCACGGGCTACCTGATACCTTAGTTTCGGATAACGGCCCCCAGTTTGCCTCAACAGAATTTAGTCGTTTCACCACCAATCTTGGCATCCGACACATCTTCACGGCCCCCTTTCATCCTGCCAGCAACGGGCTGGCAGAGAGAGCCGTTAGATCCACAAAAGAAGCATTAGCCAGATTCAGCAAGGAAGATTGGCATCACAGACTCTCCCGCTTCTTACTAAGCCAACACTCAACCCCTTGCACGGTCACCAACAAATCCCCAGCTGAACTTCTGATGGGTAGACGCCTAAGGACTGTATTGGATAGGCTCCACCCTCACTATTGCCCTGATACCCCTCTCGCTTCAATGATGGGGGTCAGAGATTTTGTCTTGCAGGAACATGTCTTCGCAAGAAACTACGCCGGAGACCCGCTTTGGATTCCTGGAGTGATAGTAGCCATCACCGGTCCCAGGTCGTACCGCGTCCAGCTGGAAGACGGCCGCATCTGGAGAAGACACCTGGATCAGCTAAGGAAGCGACAGGGCACCTTCGCCAGTGCCGGATCGTGGGCTCAGGTCGACCCCCAGGTGCCACACCAAACGCTTATCGAAGACCGTGCCAGGATTCCTTCGCCACCACCACCCGGACCAAGGGAGCAGGCAGTAGACCAGGACTGCCCGATGGGTCCTCCACTTGAACCAGCAGACGGGGCCACGACATCACCGACCAGTAGCACCGTACCGGTACCAGCGCAAACCGCAGAGCGAGGCTGCACCCCATCACCAACCCTACCGGTTTCCTTGAACACTGAGACACTTGGTAACTCACCGGAGTTACGACGCTCGGGGCGCCAGCACAGACCGCCCGCTTATTTAAATGACTATGCGTGTTCGCATCTGGGGGGAAGGGGTGTTATGTCCCTGGAACTTACCAAAGTCCCCACCCAGGTCCGTTCATGCTGCGGGGGCGTTTGCTGCCCCTCATTGGCTGGCCTCCCTCGACAGCCGGCTATAAAAGCCAGCTGCAGGGTCCGGCCAGCCGCTGTTCGTTGTGAGCCTGCTCCAGGCAAGGCTAACACGTTCAGTCCTTTATTGCTCCAATAAAGTCTTGTTGCATCCATGCCCTGGTCTAGCCTCTCATTGCTCAACTACAACAAAAAGCATCCTAGGTCAGTGGAGTGAGGAAAAAATCAACACCAGTCATTTTACATTAGAACAAACTACTGCTAAAGCTTCTAGACCATAGAAGTAAAATTAGAAGTAGTTGCCACTGCAGGGACCAGCAAAAAGTATGCTTTCTAGCTATGCCCTTCCCTCACAATGCCTTTCTGCCATCTTTCTATTGTTTTTTTTGCTAGTCAAAGGTTCTCAGTTGTTTGTAGAAGAATTAGTGCAAGGACTCCATTGCCTCCTTTCACTGTTGTTCTGTGCCTGGTTCTCTATTTGTTTCTGCTATCAAATGTTTTGCTCTGCTTTGAAAAAAAAAAAGATTAGTGGTATCCTTAATCAGGAGTGGGATTCTACAGGTTCAGGACAGTTCGGGTGAACCAGATCCCCTCCCCTCTCCGGAGTCCCCACGAGGCCCTTCTGGCTCCCAGGTAACTGTAGGGTAGCCTCCTGGGAGCAAAAACGGGGCATGGGGGGGGGTCCAGCGCTGCCCCCCTGCTTTTGCTCCTAGGAGACTCCAGGGAGGTTTGCTACACCAAAAATACAATGTAGGGGGGGTCCAGCGCTGCCCCCCGTTTTTGCTCTCAGGAGGCTCCAGGGAGGCTTGCTAGGCCGAAAACGCCACCCTCCCACTCTGCTTTTGCTCTTAGGAGGCTCCAAGGAGGCTTGCTAGGCCCCATTTTGGGCCTAGGAGGCCTCCCTGCAGCCTCCTGGGAGCATCTAGCCATCCAGTATGCCTGGATTCAGTGTTTAGCCAAAAGAACATTTGGAGCTAATACAGTATTGATTACTGCCTTGGGAGTGTTCCAGGTAAACAAAACTATTTTGTAGTCTCCTAAAACTGTTGGAGCCAATCTTCTTTCTTTATTCCATATCCTCCACTTCAAAGCTAGTAACTTGCTCTGCTTTTTCATGCCAGGCTTAGTGTGGTGAGTTCAGAGTGGATTTTGTAGAGAACAGCTTGCCTTTAGGTCTCAGTCATTTGCTCAATTTCAGAGCATACATTACATAATTTCCAAAGCATAATTCAGACTATTCAGCAGTTTGCCTAGCTGCTGCTTCATTACTTCAATTGCTGTCACAACCTTTATGGAGCGTCCAATGGCCTTTTAAGTTTGACAAGCAAAAAACACAGTAAATATTTCTCACAAATATTTTCCTTCTTCCACTTTGTGTTCGATATTTAACATACCAAATTATGTGCTCTGTTACTATTCAGGTAGTTTGCAAACTTGTGTTTTTGTTGTTGGAAGACAACTATTTAATTTGAAGATGGTGGTAAATTCTTGGTAATAAAATGGCAAGTAGAAAGGCTCACTTCTACTTGCCATTTAGAAAGCGTTAGAAAGAATGAGAAGGTTAACCTTTCCTTTGTTTCCAGTCTCCTTTTCTTGACTTGGTCTTCATAAAAAGTAGCTTTGGAATTGAAGCCATATGTGTTAAAACAAAATTATTTCTGTTTTAAGTACAAGTATGCAAAAAGTTTCAAGATTAATCCAAGATGTTTAATGGCTTTAAATATCTGGGTTTTGTGCTAAATGTTTAACTCAGAGGTCTTCAAACTTGGCAACTTTAAGACTTGTGGACTTCAATTGCCAGAATTCCCAGCCAGCTATGCTGGCTGGAGAATTCTGGGACTTGAAGTCCACAAGTCTTTAAAGTTGCCAAGTTTGGGGACCCCTGGTTTAAGTAGAAAGAGGTTCCAGCTGAAAATATACCATGAATAGCATGGAGATGCATGGTAGCTCTTTCTTTCTTTTTCTTTCTTTCTCTTTCTTTCTTTCTTTCTTTCTTTCTTTCTTTCTTTCTCTTAAAAGGAAGAAAAAGAAAGATGGAGGGATGGGAGAAAGTAAGGGAGGGAAAGGAGAAAGAGGGAAGGGAAAGGAATGTGAATGAGATATGGATGGATGGATGAATGGATAGAGGGAGGGAGGGAAAAAAAAAGGAGACGAAGGAAGGACCACAAACCTTGGCACGAAATGCAGCATCAGAGGATGCTTTGAAACAGTACAGCAATCCCGGGCTGGAAGGAACCTCAGGGGTCATCTAGTCCAACCCCGCTCCAAGAGCATTGTTAAAGTGAGTTTCTATCTTTTGACCCAGCCAGTCACATGACCACCAAGCCATGCTCAGCCAGTCATGTGACCATCAAAACACACCAGCCAGCAAGCCACGCTACCCAGTCACATGACCAAGTCACACCCACAAATTAGGCCATGCCCAGAACCGGTTGTTAAGAAATTTGAATCCCACCGCTGTCCTTAATATAGCTACTTCTTGAAAAATTATTCAAGATTAACTTGTTGTAGAAATATGCAGTAACAGTATGACTTATAAATCCATTTGAACAGGACTTCCTGAGCTACACATTCTTTCCAATAGACCGCTTCTAGCTACTCATCCAAGTGCCATTCTCCTCCCCATACCTCATCTTTATTTCTTGAGCTGCATGTAGGACAGATTCCAGCCTGCCAACATCTATTTTAACAATGCTGATGTGTGCACGGGGGAAGGATGATAATAAGTTGTCACGGGTGGCATTGGCTTTGTCCATGTTTCTGCAGGCTAAACAAATATGGATGTTTTCATCTTCCTGGAGCAGACGTTCACACAGCGCAGAACCAATCCCACTGCAAGAGTAACAACATACAGTTAAGGCCTGTCATAGAGTATCACCATCAACGCTCTTTGAAGTTCATTATGCAACAGTTGAGAAAATATATTCCCTAGTATCTCTCTGTAAATGTGTGCATTCCATAAATGCCAAAGTGATTTTCCTATAGATGTTAAAAGAGATTTTATAAATTAATTGTACGAAGATACACAAGAGTAGGAACAGTGAACCAGAAGACCCTGAAACATTTCTTCACTGGTGGACAGAAAGTGGCTTTGCTTTGTCTTCAATGACTTCCTTTAGCATGCTGAAGAGGATCTTGGAAAGGGATTCGACTTATAGTGCATCCCTGTTCTTTCCTGTGAAATAATCTCACTACCATTAATTGGATAGATATGATGAATGTTACTGTTGGGAAGATAGGACATCATTATAATGAAAAAAAAAACTTATTTATAAGAGATCACCTGATTTTTTTTAGTACAGATCCAACAGACTTGCACAAAAGATTTATCTGCCATTATATATTTGATAGAAGACTATTGGTTCATTATCCAAACAACTGGATATTATTAGAAATACAGATAGATGCAATAGCATGACAAACATATAGATGGTTAACAAAATGAAATTCAATGTAGAGAAAAATAAAGTCTTACACTTAGGCAAGAAAAAGCAAAATTACACATATAGACTGGGTGAAACCAGGCTCGATAGCAGTAACTGTGAGAGGGATCTTGGAGTCTTAGTGGACAACCAGTTAAATACAAGCCAGCAGTGTGCAGCAGCAGCCAAAAAAGCTAATGCTATCCTAAATTGCATCAACAGAGGGATACAATCAAGATCTAATACCACTCTATAAAGCCTTAGTAAGACCACACCTAAAGTACTGCACCCAGTTTTGTCACCACATTATAAAAAAGATGTCGAGGCTCTAGAAAAAGTACAGGGAAGAGCAACCAGGATGATTAGGGGGACTGGAGACTAAAACATATGAAGAATGGTTACAGGAACTGCGCATGGCTAGTCTAGTAAAGAGAAGGACCAGGGGAGACATGATAGCAGTCTTCCAATATTTGTGGGGCTGCCACAGAGAGGAAGGAGTCAAGCTATTTTCTAAAGCACCCCGAAGGCCAGACAAGGAATAATGGATGGAAACTGAACAAGGAGAGTTTTAACCTGGAAATAAGGAGAAACTTTCTGACAGTGAGAACAATCAACCAATGGAACAGCTTGCCCTCGGAAATTGTGGGAGCGCCATCACTGGAGGCTTTCAAGAAGAGATTGGACTGCCATCTGTCAGAAATGGTGTAAGGTTTCCTGCTTGGGCAGAGGGTTGGACTAGAAGACTTACAAGGTCCCTTCCAATTCTGATTATCTGTTATCTGTTATGGTTGTTAGAGCTAGAGAGGAATAATTAGTTGTGGGATATATTAGCACCAATAATTCCAAAAGAGCTTTTTCCAAAAGGCAGCTGGTCTTTCTTGGCTTTTTCTTCGAAAACATTTCCCTTCTTATCCAAGAAGCTTCTTCAGTTTTAACTTTAGAAGTGAACCTAATAACCTGGATGACTGAGAATCTACACAGACAATTAGCATAGTAATATTCAAGAAAAATAGCTGTGTCATTCCAGAAGCAAAGAAAAAGTTTGATAAGGAGGATGCTAAAATCCAAGATAAAGTCCAAGATAAGCCATCTACCACATTTCACATATAAGTCAACAAAATTTCCTTGCCAAGGAGACTACAATTGAAAAAGCAAATCACCAATCCATATCAGACTGGCATGGATGAGATGAGCAGATTTATGGTGGTTCTGGAAAAGAGGAGCCTGGAATGAGAGTATACAGACAGATCTGCTTTCTTGCTATGCACAGGTCTTGCTCCTTAGTTCAATACACTGTAGGCAAAATGGCTTCAAAACATGCGGCCAAACTGCCTTATTGGTTATGAAATCTTCTAGCAAGGCATCTTCACCTTCTCCAAAGTAGCCTGCATTTATAGAATAAGTTGCAACCATTCTGCCTTGCCCGATTTCAAAACTAAAATTGCAAAGGCTCCAAAATATTGCCCTCTAAAGCATGAAGAGATTTCTTAGGTAGTTTACTGAATCCCCTTATCCCTCACAGAGAGACCGCAGTGAGACTTTTAAGTGCATCCTGGGAAAGAGAACTCTCTGAACCCTTAATTTAACTAGTTGTCTAGGTGGTGGCAAATATGGTAATTGAGTTATGCACTTTGAAAAAGTATTGTTTTATTGGCCTTAAATCGTTTGCTTAAATCGTTTGGCGACTCCAAATTACAGTATTAAGAGAAGTTTTTTTTTACCCAGTTTTTTTAAAAGAAAACTTTTATCATGTAGAAAAACACCCAGATACTTTAATGTTTCTTCACAAAACTGCAACTATCTGATTGTTTCTTTTAAGATCCAGTTATTTATCAAGCTTGACATTTTACTGACTGACAGCTAGAACAGAATGTTCATGTACCTTGCCTTTCCACAAATGAAAGGATTAGATACTTGATCTGCCTTTGCCCTGCTTTTTGTTAAGGGATAAAAAGATATTAGGCTAGCTGACAAGAACGAAAGTTGAGTCTTAAGTAAAAATAGCAAGGCATCCTTTAATTTATTATACTGATATATACAATTCAATTGTTTCACCTGCCCTACAGAGCTCCCTTCACTTTACCGAACTTTCAAGAGGATGGTGAGCACAATGCAGCTTGTTCTTAAGAGTCAGTCAACAAAAATTAAAATATTAAAAGAATGTACAAAATGTAGCCTGGACACAATTCAACAGAGTAGAATATTTTCAAGTTCCCACCGAGCCTACGCTTTTACCCACAAGGTTCATCAATACACCGGATCTAAGCATGCTATTCCTGCCGGATCGTCTTCTATGGGACCGGCACCTCCTTTCAAATTAACTGCATAAACAGATTACATCTCCCCCTTTTCCAGGCTTTATCTCAGCGCTCCGTTCTCACCTGGTGGCGCCGGTGACTATGGCTACCCTTTGCATAGTTGTAAGGATCACAAGTCAAGGGGGTCGATCGAAAATGAAGGCGAGACGCCGGGACCGGCTATTTAATTCAGGGTATGCGCCGCCTCCAAGGCTTCCTTCTCAGCAAGGCCCCGCCCCTTAGCAACTCATCGCTGGCTCAGATTGGCGGCCACCTCCCGGTCCCCAGTCCGGAGGAAGGTGTGAAGCAAATGGGGAAACGGGGCGGTGGCGTGAGAGTAGCCCGACGACGGAAAGGCGGGACCTGGGGAAACTCAGCCACTTCGCTTAGTCACAGGCATTGGGACGACGAAAGAACGTTCCCCGGGTTGTGAGCTTGTCATTGGGTGGAGGCAATGCAAAGGAATATGTAAATAGCTATGGCTCTGCTGTAAGAAGGCGCGAAAGGCGGCTAAGGTAAAGAATGAGGGTGAGGCGTATGAGCTATTAATGAGCCGATTAAGTCGACTTACCTGCTTGTTCCTAGACTTCGGCTTTTCCCAGAGCCATTGAAAGAGATGATTGGCTCTTGAAAACCAATGCTTTAGATAAGAAGGCTTCGAATATAACCCTGTAATATACTCAGAAATTAATACCATTTAATTTAATGACATTCACGGAATTGAACATAGCTTTAAGAGGGCCTGAAGGAATTCGTGGATCGAGGCTACTTGGTAGACCACTCAGTTAAAGATAGCCTCCCTGTTTGGAAGGAACATGTCTCCCTGTACCACTTACAAGTTGCACAAATAAAAGTAAAGGCAGAAGCTTTCCAGAGCCAGCTATAAAGCCAATTGCAAAGATGGTAGGATTGCATGAATGAGCTTATTGGGGACTCATCCGTAATTAAACATTTCTCCCAATACAAGGCTTGATTTGAACAAATTACTTCATTCACAGTCTAGGTTGGTGTTTCATAGAGTTGACAACTTTAAGATGTGTGGGTCTCAACTTTTAGATGTGTGGGTCTCAACTTTGAGAATTCCCCAGTCCAGCTCTGATTAAACGCTACCTTGTTGATGCAGTCAGTGGTTGCCAGTTGTTGAGCTTCTCTTGGTTGTGTGGGCTGTTACACCATGCCCCATCACCTTCAGTCACTTCAAGGCCATTTTGGCCTGGGCTGCAGGGAAAATGGGACCTTTGATTTCCATAGAAGCATCTGCTCACAAACACTGACAAGCTTTATATGGGTTCTTGTTATGTCTCACCTTTCTTCTTTCCAAAAAAGATGAAAGAGTCCAAACTCACACAAACACAGGCAGGCAAGCTGACTCGGCATTCCAACACACTCTGCCTGCCAAGTCCGAAATGATAAGAAGAAGAACTAGTCACTGAAGATTCCAAAGCAGACCACAAGAAACATTCACAATGAAACCTGGTACAAAGTTCCAGCGGACAGCACACCCACTTTTATCCCCTGTGGGGTGTCACTCTTTGATCCTCCCACGCTTTCTAAGTTGCTGCTCATGTTTCACCCTACAACGCTGCCTAGGATCAAGCCAACATTCATCCTCTTGACTCCCTGTCAGGGGCTGCTCCGATATGCCTTCCTCCTGATTAATCTCAGGCTGTTCCTCTCGGTTGTCTGCTGAAACCTGAGGCATTATCAGGGAGAAAGGCATTGCCAGAGAGGAAGGTCCTGGGGAGGAAGGCATTCCCAGTTCCTCATCATCATCTTCCGAGTCCTCTTCCTCTAACAGCACAGGCTCGGGAATCGGAGCCACAACAGGTTCTTATACACACTACTAAACTAACCACACTTGTTGGTTTACAAGGGATAAGGGCAGTGGTGGGATTCAGTTTTTTTTTACTACCGGTTCTGTGGGTGTGGCTTGGTGGGTGTGGCAGGAGAAGGATACTGTAAAATCTCCAGTCAGAGCTGATATTTGCCGGTTCTCCGAACTACTCAAAATGTCCGCTACTGTGTTCTTCTGCTGAATACCACCTCTGGATAAGGGTGAAGGGAAAAGAAGGTTGACAGTCAATTTAAATTGAGAAAGATCTGTATTGTTGGCTTCTATTTATTTGTTAAACATATTAGACTGCCCAGTTGCCAAATTCTCTGTGCTGATTACAATAAAATATATAAAAAATAAATAAAAAAATCACTTTGAATTCAAACATACAAAGTCAAATACAGTGCAAAATGAAAACACCATGCAAACCAGTCAGCAACAAGGGGGGTTTGGGGATTCAATTTTTTTTACTACCAGCTCTGTGGGTGTGGCTTGGTGGGCGTGGCAAGGGAAGGATACTGTAAAATCTCCAGTCAGAGGTGGGATTTGCTGGTTCTCTGAACTACTCAAAATTTCCACTACCGGTTCTCCAGAACTGGTCAGAACCTGCTGAGTACCACCTCTGGCTTTCAGCATATATTCTGAGGGATACATTCTACTGTCGACTAGCCAGTTGCCACCCTGAGTTATTGGGGATTGGAGTTGAAATTGACCAAAGTTCTACTGATTTCCCATTGTTAGCCGGAGTGATGGGAGGACCAGTAAAGAAGAGCCCAAATGGCAGGCTGGTCAGCCAAGGATAAATCCAGTATGAAGTGAAAGGGAATTCTCTGAGGGCACTAAGTGAGAAACTTTAAGTTTCATTCTCTTCCACTCCTTTTGGGACATAGGTTTGTTGGTATCTATCTATCTATCTATCTATCTATCTATCTATCTATCTATCTAT